TGAGAAGGCCAGCCGAGCAATCGACGGAGATCGAGGCACGCCTTTCGCGTAGGGCGTAGGAGATCGACGACGTACTTGATAAAACCCAGAAGTCCAACGCTCGCCGAATCGACGAAAATGATGCAGAATGTTCGTAGACCTGCTGACATTATACGTGCCTGTTGTGTAGATTCGACGAAGAAATCAATGTCGGGGCAAATCAAATCTGCAGTCGCCATCCTACTCGAATCCTATTTCTGAAAATCAGTCCTAAGGGAAGGTCGCCGCCGACGAACCCGACGCGACCGCTCCGCCGCCGCTTCCAAGCTTGCCCCCGGCACAACGTCAGCAGCGCCCTTGGTCCGACCCGCTGCGAACCAAGGCCTGCGGTTGGCCTCCCCCCAGGGGCGGGCCCGGGGTCGCCCCGCCCTCGCCCGGGCCCGACACGGGCGCCATTGAACAGGCCGGTCGGGCGGGGCCGGGGGGGCGCCCTGGGGGCGAGGAACAATGTCGCCGCGCTGGCATGGGACGGGGGCAAGGACGAAGCCCCATGATCTGCGAGGAGGGCCCGGCAGGAAACATTGCTCTCCGACAGCCGCGCAAATCATCGGGGGACGCGATAGAACACCGCGCCCCCCGCGCGCGTCGATGGTCATGTCTGGGCAGATGCGGGGGGAAGTCGGGGGCTGGCTCCAACGCCCCAGGGGGCGAGACTCCGGCCCCCCGCGGGGAATCGAAACGAACTTTTCCACGCTGAAGCGAGCCGCGAGAATTATCGCCCGCGCGACCGCCTTCCGCGACGTCCGCGGTGGGAATAGAGAGCACCGGGGCCTGGGTCACCAGATGGGCCCGCTCGGCCCCCGCGCTGAGTGGGGCCCCCCGGCGCCCGTTGCTTCCAAGAGGCCAAAGAAGCTGACTTCGTTTCTGGGGCGGTCTGGTCGAGAACCCCTCGGGGGCGGCCAGCGAGAACGCTGGCCGCCCCCGAGGCCTCCGCAGTCGCGCGGCAACTCGCGCCCCGCAGAGCCTCGAAGACGCATGGCGGACGCGAAAGAGAAGGCGCGGCTGCATCGGCTCGGCGCTGAGATTCGGCAGCGAAGGGGCCGGCCGGCACCTTGCAGCGCCGCCGCAGCCATCTCGCGGCGAACTGCGAGGGGGGTTCCCAAGATTGCGGGCGCCTCGTTCAAATCCTGATCTCCGCGCCATCTCAGGGGCCCAGAATGCGAAAGACCCGCCCCGGCGATTCTGGCGCATTCAATCTCGGCGTCGTTAGATCAAACCCGATAGCAATCGTCGGTCACATGCTGCGGTCGCAACCCGCCGCCCGATCGCGCGACGGCCGAACCGATCTGAAAAGCAGACAAAAGATCTTCCCAACTGGATGGCGAAAGCTGAGGCCCCGCCATTCGCTCGACTGGAATCGCCAGCGACGCCCGGCGCGATAGTGAGGACAATATGGGAAGCGGCCAATACTGGACAACTAAACCACGTGAACAGGCGCGCGGGAGGACATGCCCGACTCGGCGATCCCGCGAACTTCCCAGATAGCCAAACCCAGCCTGCGACCGCGCGCGAACAAACGATTCATCTTATAACGCTTCGTCGAAGCGCAGGCCCCCGCGGCGCCTGATAGGACGATCTGCCCATTCGCGCGAAAATCAAAGCTTGCTTGTTGCAGGAGTGCCGGGATGAAGCCGAAGCCGCCCCCGATGAACGAGGCCGAACCACTCGCGGGGACTGCGGCGCCAACGTCGGCCAGTGCGGGGCCGTTCGGCCCTGGGAATGTTGCTCCATCTCGCGTTGTTTGAAGGGTTGTATATACATATCTGACAACGACGCCTCGAAGCCCCCCGAAGTCTGGGCAGCGCCGCCCGCGGCGCAATGGGAGAGGTCTGACAGCGAGGACCGACAAAAGATCGCCAGCCCACCCGAGGAACAACCCGTTGCAATCGCGGCAAGCCCCCGAAGACTTCCCCCGTCCGCGCTGAGGGCCCACGAAGAAACTTGGAGGATGTCCCCCGTCGAAATTAAATGGCGTTTTCGCGCGGGCGCAGCGTGGGCGGTCGACCTAGCAAACCGCGCCGCGCCCGAAGACTTCCAGCCTGAAGCGTTGAAAATCTCGAGACAAAACCAACGCGAGGGATAATTTGTCGCGCGACGCAAGGGCTCGACATAATCAAAACCCCTGGGGCCCGCCGCGGAAGTGACCCGGGCTACGCGGGCCCCATGGGTCCTGGAACCGCGCGGACCAGGCCGCGTGACCTCCGCGCTCGGACTCGTGACACCTGTTGCCCCGCGCTCCAGGGGCGAGTTTGGCCTGGGGCGCTGGCGGCGCCTTCGGCCAAGACTCCTCCCCAAAACCGCGAGATTCCTGCGCTCCTCCTCGCGCCGCGCGCGTTCTGCGTTGGCCACCGCCGCCGCTTTGCGCTGTTCCTCGAAAGACTTCTCAAGCACTATGAAGAGCGTGATTTGATGGGATGGCTTCTGTTTCCGCGGCACGAACACGTGGGAAGCTTGTTTGGCCTCGCGCCCGAGGGGCACCTCAACAACAGGAGTGCGGTTGGCGCCCAAGAGAGGTCGGTGATATTTCGCGCAGGCGGTGCCATCAACCTTCGACAAACTTGATATGATCGACCCCCCGAACTCATTCTCATCCAACGCGCACGAAAGGAGATGATCGTCTTGCTGCCACTGCTGCCCACCAAAATCCCCAGCCCGACCCGCAAGCGAACTGCAAAAACCTGGCGGAAATAATCTCATCTGCCGAGCGCCGTTCCGTCCCCAACTGCGGGAACATATCGCGCGGGGTCTTGCAATGCTTCCATACGCGGTTCGACTATGGTTGCAAGGACGGGACAGGAACTCTTTGAGCAACCCCAGCCATGCCTGTTGCTGGGGTGCCTGGGTAAAAATCAGCGCCGAAATGCAACCGAAGAGAAGGCGCAGCACCTTCGCCGAACAGTTATGAGCACCATTGTCGCCCGCCGCACGCACCAGCGCGCCAACGAGGTGGCTCCGATGTCCACCTGCCACTGGGCCACTGGTACGTTGCCATCGCAGCTCGCGTGCGAAAGCAATATTGGGAAAACATGGATGGCAACCCTGCCTTGAAGAAACGAACCTGCAAATACTCAACGTTCGCAGGTTAATATTGCAGGCTCATTTAGCAGAACGGCGAAAGAAAGGGGAGCGGAGGAAGGAAGAGAGGAAGGGGCCAAGAAGGAGGGAGACAGAAAGAGGAGGACGAGAGAAATTATCAAGACGGGTTAAACAAACAATTGTATTCAAGCCTGATGCAGAGCGTGGCTCCTGAGTAATGTGTGAGGAAATACCGAACAATACCGCGATTACAGAGCGCCGAAAAACGATTCGTGAATACATTGTAAGGAAAAAAGTCTCAGGCGAGGGCACGATTCCAAGATACACTACACAAACATATTTGGCGAAAGCCAGATCACCCAACACATTGCTACATTGTACGAGGCTCAACACTTTCCCTTGTTAACGAAGTATGCGAACCCAGGAAATGGGATCTTCAATTGAACAACGCAAGAAGCAACGGATGGTGGATCAACAAAAAAACCTGTTCGCTCTGACCCGCTCGTGTCAATCCACCGGTCGATCCAAAACCCTCGACACGTGCACTCTTCGTCTTCTACACTCCCCCCCTTGGGAGGTAAATCTTCCTTGGCCACCACGCATATTCGGCGCAGCCCCGAACACAGAGAGGAACTCAGTTCCTCTCGCCTCAAAGATGACGTAAATACAATCCAAGATCAATGCCTGTGGGAATAATGATAGAAGCAGTGGCCGGTCTGAGGCACAACAGGCGCACCTGGCATTAAAGCATCCACGAGTCTGCGGGCCAAATGACCCTGACCCAGACATCAGAAGGTCGCGCCGCGCAGATAACTTCGCGCCCCCAGGTGAGGAGGGAGAAGGGGGAAAGAGGGGGAGGGAGGATGGAAGAGACAAGGAGGATGGACGAGGATGGAGCACGCGAGAGATTCACAGGACGAGGGTTAGGAGCAGGAAACGGGCGACATAACCAGACGGGCAGGTCGGGCATGCGTGGGCAGGTCGGGCATGCGTGGGCAGGTCGAGCAAAACGTGTAGACGTCCAGAGCGGGAGCGTGATTCCTGAGTGTCAAGGGCGCAGCGTCTCAATCATTTGGGAGGAAGTCCCACGCGAGAGCGCGATTCCCCGATACATTGTGAGGAAGTCCTTTGCGAGAGCGCGATATTAAATGAATGGTGAAGAGGTACAAGGCGGGAGCCGTTGTTGTTGTACACGGGGGGCGAGGAGGACAGCATGAACCTCAAGGCTTCCCCTTGAATCAAAAACTGGGTGCGAGCCCTTGGAGGGGCACCTCATTAAAAAACACGGGGCACGGGAGAGGGGGGATCAACAATAACTATTCTTTAGAACTGGGAACTCATAAACTCAGCAACGATCCACACCGAGGAAACTTCCTTCAGCCACGCGCCCATGGGTCAGTGAATGACCGTTCGGCCCCCCCTTCTCTGACATAGCTTACATCACGAAGCTCACACCACGTATTCTTCAGAGCTGAGACAAAACAATAAACAAAAACCGTTTTAGGGAGCCTCTTCGGCAGCGCAATGCAGGAGCCGGCGCGGTGCGCGCGGCCACGCCCAGGCGCGCGAGTGTGCACGGTCGAGGCGGGTACCGCGGCCGTGCGATCGAGGCGTTCGCGTGGCGCGCACGGGCCGTAGCAACCCCTCCTGCGCGCGTTCTCCTCGTCCTCCTTTGTTCCCCCCCTGGTCCTGGTTTTCGTCGTTCCCCTCCGCCTCCTCCTCCTGTTCCTCCTCCTCCTCCTCCACCTCCTCCTCCTCCTCCTCTTCCATCCTTTGCACCCACCGCCCTCCTCCTGACCCTCTCCAGCGCTCCCTATCCTCCTCCCCTTCTCCTCCTCCTCTTCTCTCACCCTCCCTCCGTTCGTGCCACCACCTCCTCCACCTGATCTCTTGCTCCTCCTCCGCATGTTCTTGCTCGTCGCTTTTTGGGAGAGACACGCATTGCCAACCGATGCCTTCTGCTGGGTGAACCATCGCTTTGCTACTGCGCGCTCACTCGGCGAGGAAAACGACGGCTGCGCTGGGGCGCATTCAGATAAACAGTGACAGGAAGGCACTGCCCGTTGTCACAGCACTGTTTCTATCCCCTGCCCCCCTCCCCAAGGTCCCCCCCCTAACATCCTCTTGCTCCTCCCTCCCTATCCTTCTCGGCCTCGAACCATATCACACATCGCCCTCGATTCTCCCCTCCCTCCCGCTCTCCCTCCTGTCGCCTGCTCCCTCTCGCACGCCACTCCCCTCCCCAACTCGACCATGCACTGCGCACCGGGGCCACTCGTGCCTCCCCGGTCGCGGGCAGACGGCCCGACGGGTGGGCCCCATGGGGCAGGTGCAGGGACAGGGGAGATGAGAGAGAGAGAGAGAGAGAAACAACAAATAAAAAGAGAGAGGGAGAGGGAGCGAGAGGGGGAGAGGCAGAGAGAGAGGGGGATACGAGGATCAGGAGGAGGGACGGATGAGGATGGAGAGAAAGAGAGGAGGCGAGAGGGGGAGAGGCAGAGAGGGGAATACGAGGGTCAGGAGGAGGGATGGACGAGGATGAGAGCCGCGTCCCTTACTTATATTGCGGCGATCGGGGGACTCCCTCCCCCCCCCTGGATCCCCTCCGCCCATCTGGCCCTGTCCTCCTTGCCCCGTCACCATTGCCCCATGTCCGTCCCCATGCGCCTCTCATCCGCCTTCCAGCCCCTACACTCTCGTGAATTAGGACGATAGCTCTCCCCTGGCACTGATCCTGGCCAGGCCAATCCTATGCGCAACATTGGCTGATCAGGCCAGGGAGGCATACTTATGCGCAAAGCCTTGGCCCAGGGCTAATGATTGACCTGGCCAGGATCGGTCCACATCGCCGATGCATCGGCGAAGCGGTGCGATCCTCCGACCCCAACTACTCCGACCCCATGTGGGAGGCATAGAATAGAGGAGAAAAAATTGACATACGCATAAACTTTGGGAGGTCCGCGAGGCCCATCCCTGGCGGCGATGGATGCGCCGCCAGAGAGACCCAGCGCAGAGCCGAAATCACTCCGCGCGGACCTCCGAAAGCTTATGGTTATGCCGCTGGCTCTTCCTGGGTAGCAGGACGGTTCGCGCTATCGCGCCCCGCGGTCAGAACAGCGAGGACACGTCGCCCGGCGTCGCTTTCGGCGACTGCGGGGCCCCTGCGGGGGGCAGCGCCGTTCGGGGCTCGGGTCTGCGCGGGTGCGAGCTTGCGAGGTGCGGGGCGGCCCACCCTGCAGTGTGGCCGAGGCTGCGCGGGGCGGGACGGGCGAGAGCAAGGGACGGGGAGGATGCCAGTCGCTCTCGCTTTCCTCGTCTGTCTCCTTGGTTGCTTCGGAGGTGGTGGGGTCTGATAGGAGGTGTTGGAGGCACCATGTGAGAAGTTCTCTCGCTGCTGAGGCCCATCCACCACTCCATCGTCTCCCGGTCGAGCGAACACGCTGCCTGCGGTCTCTGCAGCGTGCTCGAGGCTGCCTTGCTCCGCCTGATCTCAGGCGGTCACCGACGCCACGGGTGTTTGCTCCCAACGGCTTGCCTAAGAAAGATGCGCGGAGGCTGCCAAGTCAGGGACAGATGCTCCGAGGGCTTGACATTCAGACGCATTGTCGAATGAAATCCAAGAGTCTAGATGCTGGGAAAATGAGAAAGAGGAGGAGGAGGAGGAGGGGACGAGGGCAGTGGGGAGGGGGGGAGGGAAATGGAGGATGGATTGGCCTGCCTCCGATCGGCGGCGAGCAAGGGGGGGAAGTGAGAAGGAGAACACATCCTCAGAAGGTTCGGAAATCCCCCGGTCTTCTGGGAAGCTAACCCTTCCCCGAAGATAGAAACAACTTCTCAGCAGGCGCGATGGTCTCTGAGAAGTCCCGCCGCCTCCTGAGAAGGCCTCCTACTTCTCACTTCCCCCCCCCCTCGCTCGCCGCCGATCCAAGGAGGCAGGCCCGAAGTACGGAAAAGGAGAAACATGTAAAACGGGGAGGGGGGAGGCGGGGCCGTCGTCGAATGTCGGTTGGGGGATGTGCGGGGAGAGCGGGGGGAGGGACAAGGGGGGCGGAGAGAGGAGGAGGAAGAGATTCAGAGGCAAGCTAGATGCGCTCGCGCCATGTCTGACATCCTATCCATCCCTCCCGTTTCCCGTTGCGCTCATGTTCTTTCTATCCACGGACGCGCTATATAGCCGCCCTGGACTTAAACCCCATCGTATCATGCGCGGCTGTAAAGGGGGAGCTGCGTGCATAGGAGGAGAAGGTGGGGATGAGCAGGAGGAAAAGAAGGAGTAGGAGGACGAGGAGAAGGAAGGAGGACGAGGACGAACAGCAGCAGCAGGAATTGGAGAGGAAGGAATTGGAGAAGCAAGAAGACCAGGAAAGGTGGAGAAGGGGGAATGAGGGGGGCGACAACAATGAACAATGATTAAGGCGAGAGAGCCATTCTGAACGACGGGAGCATAACGCCCATCCGAAAATGAGGCATGCTGCAACGGGAACACCATGTTGACAGAACGTAGACATACGGATTGTAAACAAGCACATGGAAACATAAGCAATGTTTGAACTCCTGCGGGTGCAACACAGTACGCGGAGAGAACGGAGCATCTTCCGCACAGGAGTATTCACACTGAGCATTTGTTAAGGCCTGGGGGGTGAGGGGAGGAGTGGGGTGATGAGGATCGCCGTCGTCGATGTCGTCTTTATTCTTCTCATCGCATCTCATCAACCTCACTCCCTTTCCCTTCACTCGTGCAGCCCCTGCCAACCCTTCCTCGCCCTCGTCCTCCCCTTCTCATCCCCCCGTCCCATTACTCATCCCGCCTGCCTCGTCCATCCCTTCCTCCCGTTCCACCTCTCCTTCCACCTCGACATCGCCATCCCGCTACACCTCCGCCCTTCTCCTCCTCCTCCTCCTCCTCCTCCTCCTCCTCCTCCATCTCGCCATCGCCATCCCGCCACTCTTCGTCCTCGGCCTTCTCCTCCTCTTTCTCCTCCTCCTCCTCCTCCTCCTGCTTCTACCCGAGTATATTGTAGATGCCCATCCGGCTCAACCCCGCACCGCTGGGTCGCGGTCGAGCCTCCGCGGGCGCCGCGCTCGCTGTGGGGCGATGCCAAGTGCTCTCGCGGCGACCGGCGGGACGTCGCGGTGCTGCAGGGGCCGCCCGCGGGGCGCTGAGCCGCGAAGGGCATGCTGTGCGCGGCGGTGGCGTGCCTGCGAAGCCCCGCCACGCCGCGGCCCGCGCCTGCGCCCGACGGTGCCCCTGCCCCGCGGCGGCGACGGCGGGGGGGCGGGCTGCTGCCGCGGGCCGTGGCGCGCCTGGCGCGGCGGCTGTGCTGGCGACTGCGCAAGATGACGTGCAAGCGGATGCTCCCATGGCCGCCGAGGCTGCAGGCGGCGGCCGCGGGTCTGGGCGTCGTCGACGCCGTCCGAGATCCGAGCCTGCTGCCAACCAACATGGTGAGGCTGATGGGCCTGCTGCAGCTCCGGGCAAGGCCATGGAAAACCATGAAATCAAGGGGTCTTACACACGATGACATAGCGACCTCAAGCGGTGGCTTACGCTGGGAGCCAGCGTGGCGCACCGCGTGGAGAAGAGGACGCTTACGCACGACCTTACGCGGGAAACGTACGTGCGCGCCAATGTCCGCGCAGTCGGCCCCGCTTTTCTGCGTCGCCCAGGTGGGATGGAACTGGAGGAGCTGGTCGGCAGGTGGGCAGGCGACCTCCCGGCCCTCCACGGCCGTGGAGAAGCGGGTGGGGGGCGGCGGGTGCTGGCGGCGTCCCGCCCTGCACTAGCGACCCCCTGCCGCGAGTCGCCTCGCCTGGAGCAAGGGGCTCACCGAGGCAGGTAGGGACGGCGCGTCGGAGGTCAAAGCGGAGCGGGAGGAGGCGCGCGCAGAGAAGCTCTCGCCGGGGCAGCCGCGGGCGACTTTTGGCGCGAGGGGCGCCGACGTGAACCAACCCCTGGGTGGAGGCCTCCTTGGGTTGTGGGCACGGAGTCCGTGATGGCAGGCTCCGATAACTTGCTGCCGAACTCTGCGGTGCACGGGGGGCAGTGCCCCGTGGGGCAGCCCTCGAGGGGGCGGAACTCCCAAGAAGCGCCTCCCAAGAGTGCAGCGGGCGAGCGCAGCGTGGCGGAGGGCTGCGGGCACCGGCCCTCCAGGATCGGGGGGTCCTGGGCAGGTCAGGTCCTTGCCCGGGCCCCCCGCTGACGATTCTCGGGCACTGGCCGTCCGAGAATACAAAACAGAAACTCTTGATCCTCCCCGCATTCTGCCTCTCCGTCCCCCCTTTCCTCACACAACCTTCCCAAAAATCAGCCGACCCTGTCGGCGTGTGGAAGACGCTGTTCCGTTGGTCGCCGTCGTCGTCGTCGTCGTCGTCGTCGTCGTCGTCGTCGTCGTCTCCGTCGTCATCTGCGTCTCCGTCGTTTCCTCGTCGTCTCCGTCAATCGTCGTCTCTGTCGTCCCCCGTCTCCTTTCCCTGGGCCCTCGTCGTCGTGTCGTCTCTGTCGTCTCCTCGTCGTTTCCGTCGTCTGCGTTTCCGTCGTCTCCTCGTCGTGTCCGTCAATCGTCGTCTCCGTCGTCCCCCGTCTCCTTTCCCTGTACCCTCCTGAAGGGCGCCAGCCAAGCTGACATTGAGCAACGTCGTAGCTGAGTCGAAGGGAAGCCCCTCCCTCCCCTTTGATCCCCTCCCCACCGGAAGGAGTGTCGGGAAGGGATCTCGGGAAGGGTCCTGGGGGGGAGTCCTGGGAAGGGTCCTGGGAGGGGGTCCCCGGTGGGGTCGCCCCCCAGATAAGCAACCCACCCGGGCGGTTCCGGGGCCCAAAATCGCCCCAAGACGTGGCAAGAATGCCCCAAAGGGCCCCCAAGACGGTCCGTGAGGGCCCCGAATCGCTGAACTATGGGTCAAAATCGCCAAAGTAGCCTCCCTATGGCCCAGGAGGTTTTCACAACGCCCCAAGAGAGCACTCCCAAGAGGGCCCCCAGGGGCAAACATTACAGATGTTGCTTCAATGTGTGAAAGACTTTGGCGTTTTCGCTTTGTCGGCTTCCCGACTCTCCAACACAGCCCAAAATGCCCCAAGATCGCCCGAGAGGCCTCCGGGATGGCCCCAAAACGACTCAAGAGGGCCCCAAGACCGGCCAAGAAACCTCCAAGGCAGCCCAAGAGGCCCCCAAGACGGCTCCAACAGGGAGCCCAGCTGGGGGGCCCGAAATGACACTTCGAGTCCTGGGTTTGAGGCTCCCAGGAGGCCCCCAGATGCCCCCGAGAAGCCCCCCAGAAGGCCCCCAGGATCCCCCCGAAGCCTCCACGAGGCTCCCACGAAACCTCAAAGAGCCCTCCAACAAAAACCCAAAACTACTCCACAAAGGCTCCCGACAGCGTTCGTCGTCGCCGTCGTCATCGTGGTAATCGTCGCCGTCGTCGTCGTCGTCGTCGTCGTCATCGTCGTCGTCGTTTTCGTAGTCGTCGTCGTCGTCGTCGTCGTCGTCGTCGTCGTCGTCGTTGTCGTCGTCTTCGTCGTCGTTTTCGTAGTCGTCGTCGTCGTCGTCGTCGCCGCCGCCGCCGCCGCCGCCGCCGCTCCCGTCGGTGTCGTCGTTTTCGTCGTCGTTTTAATCGTTTTGTTGTTGTTTTCGTCGTCGTCGTCGTCGTCGTCTTTCAGGGTCGGCGGCACCCGCCTGGCGGCCTCCCCAATACTCCATATGCTTACATTGCGCGTCTGTGAAGCAACACCCCTCCGCGAAGGCGCGCGCCTGTGCCAAACACGCCAGTCGGCGTGGACATCGAAGGGAAACCGTCGCCGAACAGGTCGGACGTGCCACCTGCAGCTGGTCAGGACAAGTGCAGCAAGATGTATGAATTCGCATTGAATCATACATAGAAATCGCGCGAACGGAAATCATTATACTACACGAGGACACGACGTGAGGCGGAGCGAGCGAGAGGGGGCCGAACGACGAAATGATTTGCATCTGTGGTGGACTCAAATTTCAGCTCGGAACGCCAAATACGGCCAGGGTGCAACACGGCTGGAATCGCGCATCTGAACCCCTCTCGGAAATGCAAAATTTCATCCACGGGTGGGCGCAATGGTCAAGGAACCGTGGATACCCTGGCAAGCCGAATCCGCTCGAATGTCGAATCAGAACTCTGGGCTGTCGGTGGTTTCGGGTTGCTAATCTCACCAAACTCCTGCCCCCCGCCCTTGCATTGCAATCCCTGGGGCTGGGGTGGGCCAGCCTCTTTCCGTTGTTCACGGTCCCACCTTGCACCCCTCGCAAGGCGTCAGAGCCTCATTTTTTGTGAGGCCGAAGGTGCTGGTATGCAAACATCTCAGCGTCGTGCTCGCCTTGCTGGGCTTCCAACGTAGCCCGCAAAAAACCTGGACCCTCCTACGACTGCCCAACAGGCCCGCAATGCGCGCCCGAACGCGCCCGCGATCCGTCCAATCGGGTCCACACACACGTCCAATCGGGTCCACACACACACACACACACACACTTGGCGGCACCAAGAACAACTCCGTCGTCCTGAAGAGGCTTCGCTTTTTCCGTCGACGGCGAGGCTGAGGTCATAGCACCAACGAGCGGGCTCAACGGGGGCGCCGCTTTAGCGAATCGGTGTAAGAGCGGAAAACAACGCAGGGCGGGCGGCCGCAAAACGGGGGGGGGAACGAGGGGTCACTGAAGAACCGACGGGCCCCATCCCTGCGCGAGTTGGCGCGGCCGGCCCCGCCCGTGGGGACCGTGGCAACTGCCGGGCACGGAGGCGGGCGGGGCCCAATACAGGTATTGCATGTAACCGAAACAGCGAAGCCGTCGACGAAGAGTCCGACGTGCAGGGTGGACGGCGAAGGCCGCACGCCGCCCAAGTGGGAGGCACAGCATGAGGAACGGCAAATACCTGCGCGTCTAGGTTGGACCGCGTCCGGAAAAATTCCAAGTCACCGCAGGGGAACAGGCGGCACGACCAGGCCCAGGATCACGAACTTGCGCGGAAGCTGCCAGCGGCAGCAGCCCCGCGACCGCCATGGCGGCGCGCGAGGAAGGGGGGGAGGCGGAGGGAACCAGAGGCAGGGGGAGAAGGCGGGGGGGAGGAACGCTCCGCCTGAAGGGAGGATCCCGCAGGCAGGGCTGCACCGCCAGCGCCCGACAGACAGACAGACAGACGGACGGACAGACAAACAGACAGACAGACAGACAGACACACTCACATACACACGCGCAGATAAAAAACTCACACAAACACGCACACACACAAACACACATACACACAACGACAAGGCAAGGAGGTCCCAAGGACAACCGCGCGGGGCCCCGTCCTCTTCCTCTTGCTCCTCCTCCCTTGCACGATAACAACGCACATGGCCCCTTTCTGTTCGCTCCGTCGTTTCGTCGCTTCGTCCTCGGCCACCCTCCGTGGCCCCCACCTCGTCGCTCCCGCCCCCCGTCCCCCCTCTGCCCCTCCCCCCTCCCGACCCTGTTGCCCGTTTCGTCGTTCGTCCTCGGCCCCCCCTCCTACCCCATCCCCTCCTCGACCCTCTGGCCTGCGTTCCCGCTCCGCTCCGAACCTGGCCCCCCGCCGCGCCCCGCGTTCTCGGCCGCCCCCAGCCCCCAGCCCCCATTCGTTCGCTCCCTTCTTGCACAGTTGCGTGCTAGAGCTCGGCGTGCACCCCCTTCTCGCCCTGTTCGTGTCCCTCGCCGCGCCCTCGTGCAAGAGACAGGGCACGCGTGCCACTTGGCCGTTCTTTTGGCCCCCTCCTCTTCCTCCTCCTCCCCGTCTTCCTCATCCTCTTCCTCCTCCTCCTGCCTCTCCTCCTCCTCCTCCTCCCTCTCCTCCTCCTCATCCTCCTCCTACTATTACTCCCTGTCATCAGCATCATGCGCACCATGCCCCCCCCCACCTTCTGCGCTTTCTTTTCCCAGCTCGCACGGTCCGCCCTCCTGCATCACTGCGATCCCTCATACATGCCTCCCTTAACCTATTCCTGCCACTCCGCAGCAGAACCCCTCTTCTTCATTCTAACGATTCCATCCTCCACCCTTCAACTCATCCTCTCCTCCTTCCCCTCCTCCTCCAGCTCCTCCTCATCACCATTCGCGCATGATTCTCACCATTGTCAGCACCACCATCATCATCACCAACACCATCATCACCAGCATCATCATCATGAGCAGAAGCAACACTCTCATCATCAGCAGCAGCAGCCTCATCATCATCGTCACCGCCACCATGAACAACATAATCACCATCGTCACCAGCATCATCTGTATCGAAAACAATGTCATCATCAGCATCACCATACTGATCCTGCAAATAACCATATACACCATCATCATCGCCAGCACCACCATCATCAACATCATCACCATCATCGGCATCACTATCGCCATCAGCATCGTCCTCAGCAGCGCAATCATCCACGTCAGCATCAGCATCATCATCGTCAACCTCATCGTCATCAACCTACTCATCACCATAATCAACATCAGCCGTCTCATCATCATTATCAATATAATTACCCACCGTAGCCTGCTCACCACCAGCATCATCACCATGAGCAGCATCACCGTGCTCATTACCAGCATCGCCAGCATCAGCATCATCATCACCATCACCATCACCATCATCATCATCATCATCATCATCATCATCATCATCATCACCATCATCGGCTTCGCCATCACCATCATCATGATCATCCGCATCAGTATCAGCCTCACCATCACCATCAGCACCACCACCATCACAATCAAACTCGCCCACAGCATCATCATCATCATCACCAGCAGCAGCATTTCACCATCAGAGAAAGCGCGTTTCCCGGACGCTCGCCATCGGAACATTCGGCGGCGCGTTTCGGAACGGGGGATGGGCCGTCGATCGGAACCAGGAAGGCCCCCCCCCCCCCCTGGCCCCCTCCTCTCCCGAACCGCACCCCCCGCGCCTCTCCCAAGGTGGGTGGGGGGGGGGCAAAGGGGGGCCCACCCCCCCCCTCGGCGCCGGCGCTGGCGCCAGCGGCCGCCGCAGCGCCAACGCGGCAACGATGGCCAGAGAGAAGGGGCGGGGGGCGGGTTCAAACCCCCCCCCGGCGACGGCGCCGGCGCCGGCGCTGGCGGCGGCCAGCCGCGCCGACGGCAAGGGTGCAGCGGCGATGACCAGAGAGGGCCCAGAGGCCGCATATTGGCGGCCTTGCCGACGTCATCCCCGAAGATCTCAAGGCCGTGGCCCCCGCTGAACTTCGCCCATCCGTCTTTGACCATGTCGCTCGCGCAGGCCGGCTCCCTCTCCACCAGCGCATCCGTGATTTGCTCGACGCGGCCCTTCCCCTGGTCGAGCGCCTCCCTGTCGCAGCGTGCGTTCGCGTCGAAGCCCTTGATTTTCCTGGGCGGGGTCGTTTTGCACTGCTGAACGCGCCGATCCAACTCGGCCAACTTTGATTCGAACTCGTCGGCCTGCATCACCTCGCGAGGAGCGTCGCCCAAGCGCTCCACTTCCACCCTCTCCAGGCTCAAAGCGCCCACGTTCGAGGCCAGCTCCGACGCGCGGGCGCGCGCCGTCGCCTGCGATGGCGGAGCGCGCCCGCGCGTCGCCTCGAGCATCGGGGCACGCGTGCACACGTCGTTGCCGCCGTGCTCCACAAGGCGCTGCCGGGGCGCAACTTTCTGGAAGGAATCGCAAACGAATGTGCGCAATGCGAGCTTGCGGAAATAGTCCGTCATGGGGCTCGAGCTGTTGGCGTCGTTCATGTCGAACCCGTCAAAATTTGCCTTGAGATCGCTGGCCTTCCGTGTCTGCGCAACCCGGCGCTGGCTGCCCCGCAGGGCTTTCCGGGGCCGCAATAGCTTGTCGCCGTGAGAACAAGCATTGGCAGCCTTTCCCACCAGTGCAAGATACGGCTCGACGAAGGGGAAATAGCAGCCTCCTTCTACTCGGCGCCTGTGCTCGGGTCCGCAGAAAAAAGAAAATGCCGCAATCCCGGTGGCGCGCGTGCCGATGGCCAAGACGAGGTTCGCGTCGAGCTCGATGACGTGGGACTCGCCCACGACGGCACTGCACTCGGGGATCGCCCCGGCGTCGGCCCGCAACTCAGCGCACGTCTCCGCGGCGGGGTCGTCGCTCTGCAAGACCTTGACCCGCTGCATGTGTTCCTGCAGAGCTGGGGCGCTGCTCTTCAACGCATTTGCCGACTTCCCGAACAGCGTGACCAATCGGCTCCAATGAGCTGACCTCTCGACTGCCTGCCCGACGACTTGGGGGACGGAGGAGGGGGTCAAGTGGCTCCTGCTAGTCTTCAGCGCCTCCTCCTGCAGCCTCTTGATGTCATCGAAGACGCTGGATGGCGCGTCGACATGGGGCCACTTCTGGCAGCTGGCGCACAGCGCTGAGAGCACCTTCTTGGTATCCTGCATCATGCGCGCGCTCGCCGGTCATGATTGCGTCCTCGGTCAGCGCCCAGTTCTTCTTGACTCTCCGTCGCCTCGCCTCCGTCCAGCCACTGCAGTAGGGCGCCCATGAAGCCCGATGTCAAGCAGAACTGCTTCGTCTCTGCCATGGGCAGCCTGGAAGATAGAAGCGTCGGCCCCCCTGCGTCGCACTCGGCGAGGACACCATCGACGAACGGAGCGAACGCGGCAGCGAGATTGCCCATGCCATCGTCCACGGCCGTGCCCTTCTCTATCATCTCGACGGCGCTGCCGACGCAGGCCTCGATAACCGAGATCCTGGCATCAGCTAGCCACGAGACGCCAGCCTTGAAGCGCTGAATCTTCTCCGCGACCTGGTCCCAGCTCAGCAGCTGGAGCTCGCCCCCTGGGAAATG